GCAGCAGCAGCAGCAGGACCCCACGCCAGCCGCCTGCTGCCACCAGCTCTCAGACCCCACATCTGGGAAGCAGCTCAAGGACTTTGCATGCATTTAATGTTTTTAATTGTGCTGCCAACTTTCTACCACGGCATCATGGACTCCGCCCAGAGAATCAACAACCCCTTCGGGTAAACCCTAAACCCTAAACCCTAAACCCTGAGCCTCGGGCGCAGCGAGCTGCACACGCCCTAAACCCTGCGAAGCCCTTAACCCTCGCAGCTGAAGGGCCAAACCCTAAACCCTTCACTCACGCACTACAAACCCTGAACCCTAGACCTCCGAAATCCCTAAACTGAAGCTCCAGCAAGCCCTAAACCCTAATCCGCCAAAGAGGCTGAACAATTAAGGTCTGGCTAGGGTTTAGGGTTTAGGGTTTGAGTTTCGCAGCCCTAGTAGAAAGATGTACAGAAACCGGAAATGAAGAGCCAGAGTTTGTGTGGGGCAAACACATTTTAGGGTTTAGGGTTTAGGGTTTGCTGCGTCTGCAGGGCAACTTCCATCAGCTTCCCAAGGCAGCAGTACGTGCAGCAGCTGGAGGCTGAGGGGAGAGCCTTTTGTGTTGCTGCTGCTGCTAGCGCGCCCCACAAGCAGCAGCAGCAGCAGCAGCAGCACGAGCAAGAGTGGGGGTTCAACCCTAGACTCATGCCGGAAGAAATTGCTGCAGAAGCTGCAGCAGACTGTCCACAGCTGCTCCCACTGCAGCGGCTACAGCAGCAGCAGCAGCAGCAGCAACAGCAGCAACAGCAGCAGCAGGGAGACAGCAGCGAGGCATCCGAAGCAGAGCCCCTCCTCGCTAGTCCCGTGTGACAATTTAAAACTGCCAAACCCTAAACCCTAGGTTTTGACAGTTTATTCGCAGAGCCTGAGTAGCCGAGCTGCTAGCGAGGGTTTAGGGTTTAGGGTTTGCGCTGCAGCTGCCGTACACCCAGAGGATCTCCTGTAGCCTCTCAGCGTCCCTGCGCGCCACACTCAAGGCCCAAACCCTACACCCTAAACCCTCGCCCTGAGCCGTGTCAAACCCTCGAGTTTAGCTGGAAGCCCTAAACCCTAAACCCTAGCTTACGCAATAAAGACCCAAAGACGCGACGCGGCGCTTTTGGCTTCGAGAGACACAAGAGAGTACATAAAGCTTCCTGGTTGCTGCTGCTGCAGTGCTGCTGCTGCTGCTGCCGCTGCTTGGGCCTCTGGCGGCGGCATCATGACGCGTCTGCGTCTGCTGCTGCTGCTGAAGCAGTAAGCAGCAGCAGCAGCAGCAGCAAGCGAAACCTCGCCCAGCGGCATCCTCTCAACCTTGAGCAGCATTGGCTGCTGCTGCTGCTGCAGCTGCAGCGCGACCTCGCCGTTGCTGCTGCTGCTGCCGAGCGCAGAGCCGTTTGCTGCAGCTGATGCTGCGGCAGCAGCAGCAGCAGCAGCAAAAGTCTCCGCCCCATCTTCTGGCAGCACGGCCCCACAGATTGCAGGGGGGCAAACGTAGGCCACAAGAAGCTGCAGCAAACGCAAATCTAAACCCTCAATTCCATCAAACCCTAAACCCTAAACCCTTATGAGGCCTGAGTTTGTAGCAGCAAACCGAAACGCACCTCGGAGACTGTTACGCCAAGTGCTGCTGCATGCAGCTGCCACTTCAGCTGCTGCTGCTGTGCCTCTTCGCTGCTGCTGCTGCTGCTGCTGCGCTGCAGCAGCAGAAGCCAGCAGCGGCTCTCCCAATAACCGAGCGAGGCGTCGACTGCAGCAGGGAGCCGCCAAATTGTGCTGCTGCTGCTGCTGCTGCTGCTGCTGCTGCTGCTGTCGCTGCTGCCGAGCGCATTTTGCAGAAGCACGACTTGGTGACCTGCGATGCTGCTGCTGCTGCTGCTGCTGCTGTTGTTGCTGCAGCGGATTCGCTGCAGCTGTCGCTGTATCTGCTGTTGCAGCAGCGCCTCGACGCGGTCGGGCTGAAGCATTCCCCTTGCTGCTTCGCTGGGGTGCTGCAGCTGCAGTTGCTGCTGCTGCTGCTGCTGCTGCAGAAGACCCGCGCAGGCGCTGCAGCCGAAGGGGTGCTGCTGCTGCTCAATTGCGTCAAGCAGCTGTGGGGTGCATGCAGCAGAGACAGTGGAGACAGCAGCAAGCAGCGCATGCAACGGCAGCGCTGCTGCGCCAATAAGGGCTTTTGCTGCGGTGGTCATGACCTGCTGCTGCTGCTGCTGCTGCTGCAGCAGCTCCTTCAGCGGGAACGCAGGCAAAATGTGGCGCAGCGCCGACGCCAGCGAGCCCAGGGGGACCAGAGCAGCAGCAGCAGCATGAGCAGCAGCAGCAGCAGCAGCGCCCACAGACGTGGGGTGTACGTACACCGCACGCGCTGCTGCTGCCATGTGCTGCAGTGAAGCCCGCAGGCTTCCCAGGGCTTTTGCTGAAGCAAGAATTTTGGGGGTTTGCAGCAGCAGCAGCGCAGCATAGTGGGCCAGCAGCTCCCGCTGCAGCAGCAGCAGCGGGGAGTGCAGCCGCCGCAGCAGCAGCAGCGGGAAGTGCACGCTGCAGCAAGAAACAGCAGCAAGAGCAGCAGCACCCCCCAGCTCCACAGACACTGCAAAAGGGCAGCTAGAAATGTACAGCTCTTCGATGCTGCAGGCCCGCAGCAGCTCTCCGCCCCACGCTGCGGGAGGCTCTGCAGCAGCAGCAGCAGCAGCTGCTGCTGCTGCTGCTGAGTACGCCGCCGCGTCCTGCTGCTGCTGCTGTTGGAACAGGGGGCGCAGCGCAGAAACAGCAGCAGCCAAACTCACTCCCCATCGAAGCAGCTGCTCGTCAACGCGAACACTAACAACATAGCCCTTCTGCTGCTGCTGGTGCTGCTGCTGTTGCTGCTGCTGCTGCTGCTCCTTCTGAGGCGTTTCTGCTGCCTCCAGCGAAAGCAGCGGCAGCGAAGGCAGATCTGGTAGCAGCGCCTCCGGACCCATCCATGGGGGGAAGACTTGCTGCTGCTGCTGCCGCTGCTGCTCATGCTGCGGATGCTGCTGCTGCTGCTGCTGCTGCTGCGGTTCCTGCAGCGACTCCGTAACTGTAGCAGCAGCAGCAGCAGCAACACCGGGAGGCAACTCTGCCTTGCTGCTGACCGAACGAACAAGGCAACACACCGCTGGCAAGCAGAGCCATTGCTTCACGCTGCTGCTGCTGCTGTTGCTGCTGCTGCTGCTGCAGAGCGACGCCGAGTCAAAGAGCAGCGAGTGCTCTTGGAGACGCTCCGTAACGAGCTGCAGCATGCCGTTGCTGCGGCTGCTGCTGCTGTTGCTGCTGCTAAATATGTAGCGAATGCGCCTGCAGTGCAAAACTGCAGTTTCTGTGCATTCTATATCTGCTGCTGCAGCAGCTCCTGCAGCAGCAGCAGCGACCAGAGACCCTGCTGTGCTGTTGCTGCTGGCAACAGCAGCAGCTGCTGCAGTGTCTGGGGAGGAGAGGGACATGAGGAGCTTCTCAACAGCCACTTCAAAAGTGAACCGTTGCACCCACTGCTTGCTGCTGCTGCTGCTGCTGCTGTTGCTGTTGCTGCTGTTGCTGCTGCGATTATCGGGGTGGCCTGAAATAACTTCGGCCTTTGCTGCCGCCATATCAGATGACGCTGCTTCTGCTGCTGTTGCTGCTGCTGTAAGAATCGCACCCAGCGGGGTGCCACTTGGTGCGGCAGCAGCAGCAGCAGCAGCTGCTGCTGCTGCTGCCTGCCGCTGCTGCAGCAGGAACTCTACCTGTTTCATTGGGCAAGGGACGCACAGTCGTGTCAACCGCTCTGCTGCTTCAGCGGCAGCTGCTGCTGCTGCTTCCGGGCAAGCAGCAGCAGCTGCTGCTGCTTCAGCAGCAGTAGCTGTCGCAGCTGCTGTAGACATGGCTTCCCAGACAAGGGAGCTGCAGAACGGCACGAAGTCAACAGTGAGTAGGGAGCAGCAACTGCTACAGCTGCTGCTGCTGCTGCTGCTCAGACGCACCACCATGCAGCCACCTATGGGCTCTGCAGCAGCAGCAGCAGCAGCAGCAGCACGCGACGGGAACAACAGCGCCCACGGGGTAGGGCTGGCAGCTGCTTCTGCAGAAGCTGCGCGCGCCCCGTTGCCAGAAGCATCAGCAGCAGCAGCAGGCGCAGCAGCAGCAGCAGCTGCTGCTGCTGCATATTCAGCAGCAAACTGTCGCGGCACACGAGGCACCAAGAAGCGCGAAACAACTTCCCCTTGCTGCTGCAGCAGCAGCGGCTCAGACCACTGGCCCCGCAGCCTGCTGCTGCTGCTGCTGTTGCTGAGGGGCAGCAGGCTGGGGGAGATGCCTGCAAAAGACAGTGCAGTGGCAGCACAGCGTTGCCTTTAAACCCTAAACCCTAAACCCTAAACCCTATACCCTAACAATGTAACCGCAGCAGAGCTTCTGCTCACCGTCTGTTTCCTCGTTGTCGAGGGCGCAGAGCTGCACATACACCTCATTCCTTGGAAATGCTGCTGCTGCTGCTGCTGCGCTGCTGCTGCTGCTGCTGCAAATTGCATGCTTAGAGAGTGCACGCAGCAGTAGAGGGTCGCGGTCTAAGAAAAGCGGCCGCGAGCTTTGCTGCTGCTGCTGCTGCTGCTGCTGCCGGTACGAAGACGGGGAAGCTTGGGGCTGATGGGCACTGGCAATTGACCTGACGCTCGGGGAAGCAGCTGCTGCTTGCTGCAGCTGCTGTTGCTGCTGCTGCTGCTGCCGCTGCTCTTCCAGCTGCTGCTCTGCTTTCTCCTCATCAGCGGCAAACGCGGAGTCCGCGGGACTGCTGTCATCACTTGCTGCTGCTGCTGTTGCTGCTGCGTCGGCTTCAGCAGCAGCAGCAGCAAAGACAGCAAACGGGCGCTTTTGCCCCGTAGAGATGTGGGCAGCGGAGAAGGCGGAGACTCGCTGCGGCAGCAGCCTGCTGCCGCTGCTGCTGTTGCTGCTGCGGGCAACAGCAAGAGTAAAAGGTGTTCTGTTCAGCAGCAGCAGCGGCGGAGAAGCACAGAGAGACAAAGAGATGCAGAGGCAGCCGCCTGCATGCAGCCCGTAGGAGACATGCAGCAGCCTCAGCAGCAACGGCGGCAGCAGACCCAGGCTGCACGCTGCTGCTGCACTTAGCTGCTGCTGCTGCTGCGGCTGCTGCGGCAGTGGCGGCGTCCGAGGATCCACCAGCGGCAGCAGAACGTTCGCAGCTGACCCTCCACCACGCCACTGCTGCTGCTGTTGCTGCTGCTGCTGCTGCTGCTTTTGCTGCTGCTGCTGCTTCTCAGAAGGCAGCCCCCCGAAGGACACATCACTGCGCAGCAGCAGCGCGATGCTGTCTGTCCACATGATTGCTCTAAGTTGCTGCTGCTGCTGCTCCTGCGGCTGCTGCTGCTCCTGCGGCTGCTGCTGCTGCTGCTGCTGCTGCTGCCAATGCGCAGCATCAGCTATCCTAAGCAGCAATGGCGGAAACAGCCTCTGAACATCTTCGAGGCCTCGCGCTGCTGTTTTCTTTGATTGCTCCTGCCTGTGCTGCTGCTGCAGCAGCAGCAGCTGCTGCTGCTGTGTCGCCAGCTGCGGCAGCGCGAGGAGAGACTGAGGAAGCCGCCCCTGATTCCCGCAAGCAGCAGCAGCAAGCGCATGCAGCGCTGCTGCTGCTGCCGGCTCCAGGCAGCAGCAGGCCGCTGCAGCAGCCTGCTGCTGCTGCGGGCGGATTCGCTGGTAGCTGCCGAAGCTGTCAGCAGCAGCGATTCCCAGGTGTACATACACCTCAAACGGCAGCTGATTCCGCACCTGCAATGGCGGGGAAATGTGCAGCAGCAGCTGCTGCGCTGCTGCGCTGCTGCAGCAGCAGCAGGAACCTTCAAGGCCGCGCCTGCTGAGGCTCAGCAGCAGCACGGCGTACTGTCCTGCTGCTCCTCCGTCATTTCTGCGGTTGCTGCTGTCGCTGCTGCTGCGGTTGCTGCTGCTGCTGCTGCTGCAGCCACAAACCAGCGGAATGCAAACCCGGACTGTCTTGTTGAGAGCCACTTGCTGCAGCGACTCGCTCCAGCAAATGCAGGTACAGTTGCTGCTGCTGCTGCTGCTGCTGCTGCTACTGTTACGCACCCCTACGTATGCTACGAAAGGCGCGTTCTGCTGCTGGCTGAGACAGCAGATGCCCGACAGATCGGTTGTTGCTGCCGCTGCACCCCCGCTGCTGCTGCTGCTGCTGCTGCTTGCTGCAGGAAGCGCAGCAACAGCTCCATAAGGGTCCTTTATAAACACTTCTATCGGGCAGCTGCTGCTGGCCACGCATGCAGGATGTACCTGAAGCTGCAGCACGCGCTGCGAAGGGCCCCAACGCCGTGCATGCACCAGCAGAGACCCTGTCACCGGTTGCTGCTGCTGCTGCTGCTGCTGCTGCTGCTGCCTACTATGTTTCTGGTGCTGGCTTTGTTTTTCTGTTGCTGCTTCTGTTGTAGCAGCTGCAGGGCTCAGACTGGTTTTGCTGCCATCCGAAGTGCTCGTGCTGCAGCCCTCCATAGCTAGCTGCTGCTGGTGCTGCTGCTGCTGTTGCTGTTGCTGCTGCCGTTGCAGCTCCTCTTGCTGCTGCTGCTGCTGCTCAGAAGGCACTGAGCCACTCAATACGGGGCTATTATCACTTCGGCTGCTGCTTATGCTGTTGCTGCTACCAATGTGCTGCTGCTGCTGCTGCTTTGTGAGAGCTAGAGCCGTCCACCCGCAGACAAAAGCTTCTGCTGCAGCAGCGGAAAACGCAGCTGATTTGTTGTTGCTCTTTTCTGCTGCTGCTTCAGCAGACGGCGAGGCACCAGCAGCTGCAGAAGCACCTGCGGCTGTCTCCGCAAGTGGGATGGACTGCAGCGACAACAGCAGATTGTCCATGGCAGGACTCTGCTGCTGCTGTTCTGCTGCTGCTGCTGCTGCTGCTTCCGCAGCAGGACCTACTATGTGAACTGCTGCAGCCAACAACTGAGGCACAGAAGCGTCGATAAGCTGCACACACACCGCAGAATAGTTGCTGCACCTTCGCTTAGGAGCTGCGGCAGCGGTAGCAACGGGGAGGTTGAAGCAGCAGCAGCAGCAGCAGCAGCAGCAATACTGAGCCAAGCTTAGCATGTCAAGCAGACAGAAGAATAAGATAACGTTGCAGCAGACATTCCAACGGAAACAACACTGGAAGCCGTAGCAGCAGCACAACTGCTGCAGCTGAAGCACCATCATCTGCAGCAGCAGCAGCAGCAGCAACGGCACCTGCAGAGCAGAAGAGGGGTGCAGCAGCAGCTCTTTGATGTCCCTCGACGATGTCCCCTGCAGCTGCAGCAGCAAGCTGCTGCTGGTTTTGTTGCTCACACACAGGGCCGGGCGCATCCGCAGCATCAGCGGGCCCCTGCTGCCGCTGCTGCTGCTGCTGCAATCAAAGCTGTCGACGTCCACACTGCCAGCGTAGCAGAAGACGCAAGCAATGCTCTGCTCCTGTTCTTGCTGCTGCTGTTGCTGCAGCTGCTGTTGCCGTTGCAGTTGCAGTTGCTGCTGCTGGTCGTGTTGCTGCTGCGGCTCCTCAGGGGGCGCCGAAGGAAGCATAACAAAACCTGCCCGAAACTGCTGCTTCTGCTGCTGCTGCCCTGGTTGTTGCTGCAGCCACCGCAGGAAGCTCTGCTGCCGTCTCGGATGCTGCTGCTGCTGCCCGTTAGCTGCCTGCAGCAGCAGCAGGGGCCCTGTGAGGCCCCCGAAGCTGCCAGGAAAAACAGGAGCTGCTGCTGCTGCTGCTGCTGCTGCATGGCGAGAATGAATAGACAAGGACACAGACAAGGGAGCAGCAGCAGGTGGCAGGATTGCAGCAGCAGCAGCAGCAGACGGGCCCAGCTGACCCACAGCTGCTGCTGTTGCTGCCCAGTCGAAGTCCTGTTGTTCTTGCTGCTGTTGCTGCTGTTCTGCATGCTGCTGCTGTTTCTGCGTCTGCTGCTGCTGCTGTAGCAGCACCTGCTGCAGCTGCGTGCTGTTATCGCGAGCACTGGTAGTGTAAATGGAACCTAATTTGTGCTGCATTTGTTGCTGCTGCTGCTGATGCTGCTGCTGGTCACATGCACCTGTTGAGCCCTCTCCCTGCTGCAGCGCGCTTTGGCCTTGCTGCAGCGGTAGCAGCAGCTGCTCCTGCTGTTGTTTCGGCAGCAGCACCCTCAGCAGCATGTGTAATGATGGTACTTCTCTCCGGAAGCATAGGCCAAAGTCACCATGCTGCTGCTGCTGTTGCTGCTGCTGCCGTTCCGCATGCTGCTGCTGCTGTTCGCCTATATGAGTGCGAAATAGCAGTGGCAGCATTAGCTGCTCCTGCTGCAGCAGCAGCGGAGGACAGATGAAGCAGCAGACTTGCAGCGGCGTGCGGCTGCAAACCCCAAACCACACTCTGTAGCTCACTCTGCAGCTGCTGCTGCTGCTGCTGCTGCTGTTGGTGCTGCCACATCTCGGCAACAAGACAACACAAGAGGTCCCTGAGGCTGCTGGCAGCAGCAGTGGCTCCCAGCGCACAGCAGCAGCACCAGCAGAAGACGCAGCAGCAGCAGCCGCAGCAGCAGGAAATACAGGAGCCGACCAGCCGCCACCGCAAGCGAGAGCGAACCGCAGCGACATTCTTTCCTTGCTGCTGCTGCTGCTGCTGCTGGGGTAAACTGGAGGGACACACCAGAAAGCTGCTTTTGATGCACCTGGAGGCAGCAGCAGGGAGCCGCCAAAGGCCCCCTGCTGCAGCAGCAGAGGCACAGGCAGCAGATTCGTCAGCAATAAAGGCACGTGGGGGGGCACTTGCTGCAGTGTTGCTGTTTCAGGATGGGCTTCCTGCTGCTGGTGCTGCTGTTGCTGCTGCTCCTGCTGCTGCGGCAGGACGTCTCCTTTGGCAAACGTAGCAGCAACTGCTTCTGCTGCTGCTACAGCGCGCCACAAACGCAGCGCATCCAGGTGTACAGTCAGCTGCTGCTGCAGCAGCAACCCCACTGCAGCACCACCTGGCTCTAGCTTGGAGAGCGCAGGAACAAGAGAAACGAGCCCTGCTGCTGCTGCTGCTGCAGTTTCTGCTGCTGCTGCTACTGCTGCGTGCACAGTGACTGCAGGGCAGTGCAGCAACTGCAGCGGCTGCAGAGTAGAGGGGTGCTGCACACGGGCCCTTAGCTGCTGCAGGTTCAGCAGCAAAGCGATGCCCCCTGCAGCAGCAAGACCAGCAGCAGCAGCAGGGGCAGCAGCAGCAGCAGCACTTTCGGCTGCAGCTACAGGAGCCACATGCTGCAGCGACAGGTGCAAAGACTCTGCTGCTGCTTCCATTGCAGGGGCCTCGAGACCCAAAGCGTCAAACGGATACAGCCCTGCTGCAGCAGCTGCTGCAGGCGCTGCTGCTGCTGCTGCTGCTGCTGCATGCGCCAAAGTAGCACAGAAACCGTTGCACTGTAGCGACACCCTCCACTGCCGCAGCGGAGCGGGCAGCACTGGGAAGGCAGCCAGCAGCAGCAGTTGCTGCTGCTGCTGCTGCTGCTGTTGCTGCTGCTGCTGCTGCTGCGGTGGGTGCTGCAAGGTGACCCTGAAGCGCCGCGCAAGCAAATTGCTGCTGCTCCGCCTTGGGCGGCCAAAATGGGCCCCACGAAATCTCCGCTGCAGCTCGTCGTACGCCTCTACACGCTGCACTGCCCATCCCTGCTGCTGCTGCTGCTGCTGCTGCTGTTGCTGCTGCTGCTGCTCGAGCTCCTGAGAGTCGTTGGGGTCGGCCTGCACTGCAGCAGCCACCAGACAGGCTGGTCTGGGCAGGCAGAGGAGCACCTGAACAAGCTCCTGCGGCTCCTGCTGCTCAGCTGCTGCTGCTGCAGTAGCTGCTGCTGCAGGAAGGCTACGGAAGACTGCATGCATGCAGTCGAGTGCAGCAGCAGCAGCAGCCGCCTCTGCTTCCTCGTCACTGCAGAAATTGCTGGGCACTGCAGCAACGCGCAGCTGGAGGCAGGCGCAGCCAGACCTCCCGTGACTTTCTCCCGTTGCTGCTGTTGGTGGTGGTGGTGTTGCTGCTGCTGCTGCTGCTGCTGCTGCTGAGCCAGGCTGCTGCAGCGGGAGTTTGAAAGGAAGCAGCTGCCAGTCTGCGGGCTTCGCAGCTGTTGCTGTATTTGCTGTTGCTGCGGCCTTTGCTGCTGCTCCTTCTGGTGCAGCAGCAGCACCAGTCTCTTTTTCCATGGGCACGGAAGCAGCAGCTGCAGTGCCAATAGCACCAGCAGCAGCAGCCATGTCTCTTACCCCAGCTATAGTCTGCAGCAGCAGCTGCAGCTTCCAAGGAGACAGACGCAGCAGCACGGGAGATACTTGAAACTCAGCAGCCCCTTCTGTGTATGAAACAGCAGCAGCAGCAGCGTCATCATCAGCCACTGCAACCGCTGCTGTCCCTGCTGTTGCTGCTGCTGCTGTTGCTGTTGCTGCTGTTGCTGTTGCTGCTGCTGCTGTTGCTGCTGCTGCTGTTGCTGCTGCTTGCCCACTAACTGGTGAGGCCTGATGAAGGCTTACGCCCGCTGAGGTGTACAGACGCCGCAGGCAAGTGCATGCAAGCTGGGCAGCAGCTGCTGCTGCTGCACCCTCCCCAGCAGCAGCAACGGGCAGATATCCCATTGCTGCTGCTGCTGCTGCTGCTGCTGCCAGAGCCTTATTTTGGTG